GGTGCCACGTCACCCCTTGCTCCGTGCCGACCCACCCTCCCCCTTCCGCTTCTTCCTCTCCTCCCGCCCTTCGTCCCGTCATCCTTCTCCCGAACCGACCCGATCTCATCCTCAATGTCAACACGGATATGAGACACACAGAGGTGTAACTAGGAAATTTACGCTCGGCCGAGCGATCCTCCAAACCCTCCTTGTTTTCTCCCTCTTTTTCTCCCTCGTTTCTAGAATCTCTATACTCGCGTCTCTCTCTCTCTCTCCCCCTTTAATTTCTTACCTCTCGCTCTGTCTCTGTGTTAAAAACCCTCGGTCTGTCCTTTGGTTACATCCTATCTCTCTCTCTCTCTCTCTGTCGTTTTCATTCCTAAAGTCCAGGACGGGCGAACGCGCGACCTCGCTCTTCCCTGACTCTCAAAATGACCCCGATTTCTGGTGGTATCTTGATTCTGGATCTTAAGAGCCAGCATCCCAACGGACCCGGAATCGAGCCTCGTGAAACTCGAACACCTCTTCGGATTCCAACACGGGAGCGGACTCTTGTGTTTCTAAGGAAATTCTCCAGCATCGCTTCTCTTCCTTCGATATACGTTTATATATATATGTATATATACCTCAAGAACGCATCTGCTACGCGTGGGCGTATCCCTTGACATTCCGAGCTCCATAGTTAGAATCGAATGTTACATCGCCACTGGATGTCTTACTGGTTTTCGAAAATACATCCGATTCTCGTTACCCGTCGGCCACTGGGGGAAGGTTCTAGCGAAATTGGGTAAACGGGTCAAGCAAGCCTGTTGCGCGAGAGGTGGTGCCCAGATACACGCAGGTAAGGTCGCCCAAAGAGACAATGGCAAACGCCATGGACGTCGGGAACTCGTGGCGGAGGTATTGTGCACCATATAATGTATTCCTTCGAAATTATAACCTGCCGGGAATTACTCGCGTAACTAGATTAGCCCAGGAGTGGACCTGGTGCTGTGAGGCTTTGAGCGAAGCGTTCTGGCCGTTTTAAACGGGTCGGTATCACTTTTTTCCGGATTGACCCTAAGGGACCTGGTATTGGTATACGGGGACAGGTCATGCACCTTACATCCTGACTCCAAGGTAGCCAGTTCGTAAAGGACGAAAACGAGACAGGAATATGATGAAAGAAAAAAAAAAAATATTACCAAGAGAGAGTCCACGCCTGTCCCGTGAAAACGATCCCGTACCATCGACGCCATAAGAATCCATTTCTGCTGTATATATACATAAGGAGGAACGCTTGGTTTTCTCCAGACTTCCATAATAATTCCATGCACTTGATTGGTAAGAGAAAAAAAGCCATTAAGCGATCCACATTTTTATCATACTCACTCCAGCACCTAACTACCTCTGTTACTCACGTACTATGTACGCGCATGCGTACCAGACATTGCCAACTGCCACTTACCACCATTCAGTGCGAGTATTTTCAACGTCGCCCAGTGCTTTCACGATATTTATCATGAATTCGATGAACGCCACTGAGAGAAACTGCAAACTATTGGTGTATCTATATATATTTGTAATATTAAGAAAAAGTGCATTCCCGCGGGAAAGGGATTCCCTCGGGCTCACCTGAAGAGGGTGGAAAGCACAAGGTTCCTTCTCGATGGTCACAAACCTCGCATCGAGTTTCAACACGCGGCTGCGGTTCTTCGGTTACGGTTACGGTTACACCTTCGGTGGATGGGACACTCGTTTCAATGTATATGATATAGGTAAGGTTATGAAGGGATAGGATGGAACCCTGAAGAAGAAAAGAAAAAGGAATAAACCAAGGACAGCTGGGTAGGGTTGGAAATTTCTCAATATGACTGAAAGCACGTAGTCTGTGTCTGGTAAAAAATGTGGATGCCGATACTCATTTAATAACGGAAATTCTACGGTTACCGATGGTGAAACTTGGAAGATATGCGTCAACCCACCCACGCCGGCGGAGGTTGACGAGTCGAACTCAGAGGGCAGCTCCGGGGAGACTCGGTCGTTAAGGTAGGAAATGGATGTAGGATGATATTTTTTTTAGGAAAGACGATTTTTTATGCTCCATGAGGTTGAGTTACGAGTGTTTATAAATAATTGCATTGTTTCTTGTCACTTTTCACTTTTTTCGGGTTTCACAATGGTTGCCGATGCTCGTGGTCGTGGTATTTGTTTTTTCTCTCCTAGCCTCTTTTGGTAACTATTTAAGACGGATGCGCCTAGTTAACTTAGCTGTATGGTAAGGTAGAGTGGTATTATGCCGTTACCTGTACGTAGGCATAATTTAAAAAGTATCATTAGAGTGGGTACTAGAACGATACAAGGTACATACAGGAGGATTAAACCCGATGTTGACGAGCAATATGCTCGTATTCTTAGTTTACTGGTAAGTACATCGCATCGTTATTAATCTTAAGTATATTACTAGTCGGTATGGATTTCATGGTTACATTATAATTACGGATACAAGTATGTATAGATTTGACACGAAAAGAAAATAATAACAAACATGGCCGCCGTATGATTCGACGTCGAGTGAAGACTTTGTCGGTGTATAATAAAAGAAGCGAGTGACATAGACAAGTAAGAGAGTGAAAAATAGACGAAGATAGAGGGAGCAAAGAGAACTGAAGAAAAGAACGTTAAATGAATAGACAATGGAATAATTATGACGTTCCTCTTATTAAATGCGTCTCGTAATAGGTTTATCGTTTAGATTAATTATTACTAGTATTCATTTAAGGTATATATTTATCGTTATTTATATATATACCCTATATCGTGATTCGACCAGATCGGAGCGGACCTGGACGTGGACGGCGCCGATCCCGTCGACTCTTGTCGCGCGAATTTTCAAAAAAATCATCGGCGACTTATCGCCACGTTACGACAATCGATCACGGCTTATAATTAAAGGCGATTCTTCCTTATTATCACTGGAATCGATGGCCGAACTGACGGTCTTATTTATTATATATATATATATATATACCAGGTAACTCGTAAAAGTCAATTATGAACTCTTACCGAGTCGACTGTATCGCTTTAATGAATATCCACGCGATCGCTTATCGTTCGTTAAATCCTATCCAAGAAATAAGGATCGCAGCGACTTAGGGATTTCGCTAATGCGACATATTTTCAATTCCTACGAGCGTTCTCGCCTTCTCCCTGTCAAGTTTCAGACTGTCAATAGGACAGACTCGTCGAATGATCATCGCGTTAATCGACAGTAAGAAGTGACGCTTCGTACGCATTTCCATGTACGTATCCTATTCGTCGTTCTTATATAATTTTCACGCACGTTAATATACTTTTCTCATATACGACGCAGCTACGTTCACATCATACCAATGGCAATCCATTCACGAATAGACAAATCCCAAGGCTTTAACCCTAACAAATACGTATGCCGACGCTCGGCGTCCTGTTCCGTTTCGTAAATTTCGTTATTCACGAAATATGCTAATACGACCCGGACGAACGTCGCCTTATTTACGGTTAATCGAATCCAATTAAACGCGAACGGTCGCCGAGCCTCTCGCGGCGCATACGTAACACGTAATACGTTATACGTTAATATGTTACCGAAGAATCGTGCGATTCGACATCTCTGTTCGCCATTGGGATTTCCATAAGGAGCAGCGAGCTGTGTTTTGTTTCGATGGAAAAAAAAAAAAAAAAATCATATACAGTCTCTTTCAAAAATTATACTACCGACCGAAGTTGGCTCTACGTCACAAATCATATCGATGAGTTAACTTCGATTGGTATCACTGGGTACGAAGTAATCCTGTATATACTTTTTTCTTTCTATAATGCTACTAGCTACAATGCTAATCGTCATAAGTGCTTGGTACGATTATCGTATGAAGACACCGGGGAAGTCTCGCTGTATCTTGTTCTAATTAATCGATTTATCGAATGCGCATCATCGACGAATGAAAGCTCGTTCGAAAGCTACGTAACTTCATATTTTTATTCGGAGAAAATTGCATTCCGATATACAACGACTAGTTTTTTTTGTTGTTGGCTTTTTTCTCGCTTTTTTTTTTTTCTTTACTTCTTTCTTTCTTTCTTACTTTAATTCTATTCTCACTGGAAAAAAGTGTAGGCGCTTTTAATGGCCCACATACCCGTATACCACCTATGCATATCACTGATACGGGGTATATATAATTTGATGCATAGTTTTGACTGTGCGATCGAATTACTGACTTACTGACTGACCGATTAGGCGCCGTCACTTGTGCACGTGCTTCAATCTCAATGTGCACTTTTTTTTTCACTTTCCATTTTTTTTTGCTTCTGTCGCTTCTGCCTTCTCTCTCTCTCTCTCTCTCTCTCTCTCTCTCTCGCACGCTCATACATTCATATTCTTACATACAGACTGTTTTGACGGTACGAGTGTATCGTGTGTGAGTGTGTAAAATGTGGAGCCAATGGGAATGGACGTCGCTGGGAAAAAAACGAACGAAGGAGATCGGTCGCTTGTAACTTTGTAAATTCGCCAGAAGGCAATGCTCGATCGTTACAATAAACACTGTGAAATCGGTATTGGCGATGCGCGTAACGCGCACGTATATATATAGAAAATCGTGACAAGTATTTATACCCGTGTATAAATCTTACGTCTATTGGAAAATCGGTAACTGTCAATTGTTACGTATGCAAATATTAATACGTTATAAATTTATCACACAGTATATACGAACAGTTCACGCTCTGATATATGTATATATATAAGCAGCGTTGGTCAAAAAGAGCTCAATTAAGATTTCTCGCGTTACGTTGGTCAATTTCAAATTATAATAGATTTTTCAAAAAGATGAATCAGAGAAAAATATTTTTTTTTTAAATTCTGCGAGGGGGTATGCAGGGTGCGAATGACTGAATATATATATATATATTTATATATATAATATTTCGTGACGGTAGCAATAAAATAAAAGAGTGAGGAATTTATGAATTTTTCAAAAAAAAAAGAAAAAAAAAATTTCCTAAAAATATCCTATAGTTAATCGCCCGGAAGTAATCGCGTCGAGGAAAAGTCCCGTGTCGCAAATTGGCGGCGAAGACCGCCACTAGGATCTCGAGACTTACCTTGAACGTGTGTGGGGGCCGTACGCGACAGGATAGATGCAAAGATTCTGTACAATTCTGAAAGTGAGATCGAGACGAGTACATTCAATGAGGGTTTTTAAGAAAGAGTCCGGAGTTATGAAGATTGAGAAAATTGTGCGTTTATTAATGAAGAAGTAGGCTAATACGTTACCAACGATTTTCGAGGTTAACCTCGACTGCATTCCGAGGGCGCCGCTATTGCCATTCGCAATCAGTTTGGCGCGTCTCGTTTCTCGCGTGGCCTTGCATTTCGCGTCTTTTCCATTTTTCTCTCTCTATCTCTCTCGTATCTCCCTCTATTATATATATGTATATATATATATATATATATATTTCATATCTTTCTTCTCCTTCTTGGTCTCCTTAACTCGCACCCTCTCCCTCTCTCCCACTTTTTTCCTCCTTTACTTTTTCTCTATTTTTTATTCTCTTTAGTTCTCCCCCCCCCACTCTCTCTCTCTCTCTCTCAACATGCAGCTACCGATCATACCATACAAGATCGTCCTGCATGAGCCATGCGTGATAATACGTAGGGTCGTATTTACCATTATAATCGTATAGACAAAGAAAAAGATTCTCGCCAAGTTCGGCTCTTGGTTATTTGCACCCTGCACCTATGCTGAACGGTACATATATATGTATATATATTTATGGCATATATACCTATTTATATCTACAGGGCAGTAGTCAAACGCTGTGACTGACTGTGCACGTCGTGCGATTTGTGTTTATGTGAGTTTTTTGTTTTTTTTTTTTTTCATTTTTTTCACGATCGCGTAATTACCAAGCTCTAGAAATTTCTCTCTCGTATATACTTTCTCGTTCACGATACTCGTTATCGTTATCTTTCATTGATCCTGTTATCGTCTAAGAGCCCTTCGCATGCTCGCGATCCTATGAAACAAATGAATTTTGTAGCTTCGTTCTCATTCTTAAGTAGTTTTAGGCCTTTGCACAGACCACGCGTGATCCCCGTGTGTTAATGTTCCAAGTGCAAGTGTTTTGTCAATCTTTTTTTTCCTTTTAATCGCATTCATACAATCGTTATACATTCTTACTGCGCGTTACTAATCTCTCTCTCTCTCTCTCTCTCTCTTACACAGACTCACTGTCGGGCAGATGCATCCGTATTCTGATCTTTAGCATGGACGATCCTGACTGTCTAATTGGTGGATCTCCCAGCAAGGGCTCGGTATCCCATGTTACGTTCCATTGGTATCGGTACGTCGTATCATAAGATCATTTATGACGAAGTTTTTTACGTCAAGAGTGACTAGAATAATGTTGGATGAATAATGAGGAGAGTAGAAAAGTGCGAGAGATTTGAATGGCCAGTCGGGTCACTGAGGTCGATACGACGTACTTTACGAGAAAAAACTCCTGGATATTGGCGTTCTCTGTGTCCCGTGACGGCTTCCCGTAGGATCTTTATATACTTCTAAGAACGTGGCATCTTCATTGTTTCTTCTTTTTTTTTTTTCCTATATCGAGTACATCACTTTGTTCGACCGATCTTCCGAATACCCCGTAAGACACTGTAAAAACACGAGAGCGATTTTCGGATCGCTCTTCCAGTCTCTCCGAACACTCTCGCGTGGTTTACAAAATCGGTTCTCTCGTTTGCTCTGTGGTCAAAGAACCGAAGTCCTATAGCTACGATAAAACGCCTGACGATGCGCAACCGTGCATACTGGGCCGCGTGCACACTCCAGTGATCGGCAATGGGTCAATTCCAGTAGAGGACAGGACAGAGGGTCGTCCGATGCTCGGATACGGTTAACCGACCGAGCTGGACAGTCGAGAATATAACGAGCGAACGAACTCTATTTTTTTGAATTTTTTTTTTTTTTGAATTTTTTCCCTCGCGTCTAAAGGTGGATGGAAATACGACCTCTCCATATCATAGAGTAAAAATTCACGGATTTACGTACTTGCTTTGAGGTGCTTATTTTTTAATATCTAGCCCTTTGTGCCATTTGGTCGGCATGCAGTCTCTCTTGTGCTTTTCATTGTGTTATTCTTGTGCATTGTTATTATTATTTTTTTTAAAGTTTTTTCTTTTCATCCATTAGTCGCTCTCTCTCTCTCTCTCTCTCTCTCTCTCTCTCTCTCTCTCCCTCTCTCTCACTCTCTATCTGTACAATCCGATTAGATAAGAATTCGTAAGTATGCATGTGGTGAGCGGAGTTTGTTCAGTGTCGTATAGTGCAGTTTAAAGTGGCCCCGCTTAGCATGGAAGAGCATTATATTTTCTACGACGACTGTACGTTACTCCTCCGAGCATACTCCGTTCACGCCGATTGCGCACGGCAGTTCCACTGACGTGCAGTTACCGCGATCCGACTATAGAGGATCGAGCACAGGGACGACGCAGGCACCACGGACTCCTCGGGGATGGTAATTCCCCCTTTATAACGGAGCCACTCCCCTCGTCCTCCTACGGACTCGGATGTCATCCTCGCGCTTGAGGTCCATGGGAATCAAGAACCCAGTCCGACTCGTCGATCAGCGACGTGTGCTTTATGGGTTTTAGGGTGGGTTAAGGGTTTTGTCACGATCTCACGATAAACAATGACGAGCTGTCGATCGGCGATTACGTGGCCGCCGCCTTCGCCCGATCCTTGGACTTTGACTTTCCGGTGGTCGTTTGCTCTTGGTCGGTACTAGAGGGACTCGGTGGTCCGCTACCGAGTCTCGCCACCCTCCGGTAGATGTCACTGTTCACGAAACGCGGATAAGAGTCCCGGTGCATCAGGGTGTAGATCTGCAGCTGCGCCTCGTCGAAGGTGTGCGGCGTTGGCTCTACCATGTTCCTGTTGACAATCTCCCTGACGCGGGAATCCAGACTCACCTGGGGAAGAAGAAAAAAAGCAAATTTGTAGATTGATATCCTAATCAGCACTTCCCTCCGTCGGTAAGTTAACCAATGGAACTCCCTGGAACTCACTTCCTTGGGCGAGAGTATAGATATGTAATCCTCGTAGATATAGCGAGCCTTCTCCTCGATGCGCTCGGGGTTGCTCTCCCTCTTGAGCTGCTCGCAGGCCAACCAGAACGCGATGTTCTCCTCGCTGTACTCGCTGACGAGGAACTCGCGGAAGAGTTTCCTCCCCGCGGCGCTCCTCATCAGCTTGTCGAAAGATGAACCCCAGGCCCTGACCTCGTCCAAGCTGCAACACTCGGTACCTCCTTCCAGGCCGTCGAGCCCGTCGAGTCCGTTTCCTGCACCTGCACCTGCCAGCTCACCCGCGACTCCACCACCGCTCCCGAGTTCGCCGCCGCTACCGACGCCGCCACCGCCCTTTTTCTTTCCCTGGTCGCCCGAGCCGCCGGTTCCCCCTGAACTGTCGCCACCAACTGCCGCCAAGCTGACAAGAACAAAATCGAGGCACAGGGCTCGCCGTCAGTTATCACGTGGGACAGCCTTCTCCTGGAGTATCTCGTCTTCGTATCGTCCTGGGCTTACGTGAACACGTAACTAAAAGAAATGACTTCTCGACACGGTATCAAGGTACCAGGAGATTTTATCCGAAGAGTCAAAAGTCACGTACCCGAACGACGAATCAATTTTCAAAAAAGAAACACCCACGACGTAGACAAAGTTGGAAGAAGGAATAAAAGAATAAACGAGTTCGTGGCGATATCGCGGAATAGGACAGACTTTTGAAAAATATAAAAAAAAAAGTGGGCCAATATGAAAATTAACGTAAGGCACGCAAAGAGCATCCTAGTACTGGGATCTCGAAAAGGGTGACTCTTTATGGTGCCTATTTGGGGGTCTAGCGCAGCTACTCGGCCAGAGGCAAAGTCTGGTCGACCAAACAAATCAGATAGATCCGTGGCAACGGGAGTGAGAGAGATAGAGCGAGAAAGAGGGGGGACGTAGAGAGCACGTGTTATGCGTCACCCCGTTCCCGGCCTCCGTAGACACGTAAGCCCGAGCGATATAGGTACAGCAATAGCATAATAAACAAACACAGGCCACACAGCTTATCCCATGCTCACCATTTATTCCTGCGTGCGGCATGAAACAGAGAAACGGAAAATATATATATCTGACAGTAAAATGGGACATAGCTGCCTTATAAACTATCATCTAAATGCGTAACATGGCCAGACAATCGGCAAGGCAGTTTCGCCTATCCAAAGTCACCTCCGTTCACCCAACCGTTCAAAGATATTTGGCCAACCTATTATCCAATGGCATTCTCTTACTTTTCATCGGACTCAAGCTCGTCGTAAAACACCAAGTTTCCCAATAAACTGACTTTGCGCAACTAAAGTGACACCCCTCGTAATCTGAAGACCCACCCCTATGGAGACTGGCAATTAAAATACAAGGCAAATATTTTTCTTCCATCAAACGGACCAGCCCAATCCGAGCCGTCCGTCACCCATAGAGAACTATTGAAACAACATCGAATATAAAGGAGCGGTAGTACCACAAGCAACTGCAGCAGCAGCACCAGCATAGACAGCAGTTGTCCTTCTTCGAGCGTCCCATGAAGCTAAGTCCCTGTCGTTGCTGCTGCTGTTGTTGTTGTTGCTGCTGTTGTTGTTGTTGTTGTTGCTGCTGCTGTTGTTGCTGCTGCTGGGACGATTGTTGGGGATTGCTGTGCTGCGGAGCGGAGCTTGAGGATTGACCTTGGCTCTGGGCTCTGAGGCGACAACCCCCCGAGCCACCCTCTCCGCTCCCTGCCCCGTGACTAACGCCGATGCCCATTGCAGTTGCACCGATACCACTCGACATCTGCACATAAGGGTGTTTTTTTAAATTATCATCCCTAATTCCACTTCGCCCGTCTCAAATGCGCCTTCGATATATTTCCTTAAAACCGGGACGTTCCCTTTCACGGTGTCCAAGCCGATCGGGCAGGTCCGAGGTCAAGTTCGACTCGCACCTTTCGTTCCGCGGGTAGAATGCGGGTCGACGAACGACATTTCCGAAGAGGAGTGACTCTCCTTATTGATTATGTTGGAAAAGTTTTTTTTTTTTTTTTTTTATACGAGGACGCGGTGCGAGTGATCGACGGTGGCTCGTTTGACCTGACTCGACGTTCTGGCGCAGCGAGAAGCGCGCAGAGCGCGGATATTGGATTCAGGTGTTCCCGATGCCGTGATTAGAGCAGGAATGCTAGCGGGGACACACTTTTGTCCTCGACGTGGTAGAACGACCGGATTGAATGAGGTTTACACGCAGACGACATATGGGCAGAAGGTCGTAGCGAATAAGCGAGGGAGAACGGGACGAGTTTGTTGGTAAGAGGTTAGAAAGATGGCGGATATCATAAATCGTAGAGGGACCGGTGAATTTGGTTGGAGCATCTGACATCGAAAGCCATAGATTTGATCGACTTCGATAATACGTTATCAATGGCGCGGGTGTATATCTCGACGAGGAAATTGGGTCAGGCTAAGATTATCGTATCGACGCCTGCCCTTCGGGAACGACGAAATTCCAAATGCGACGAGATGAGTTTGAAAACGACGCAGAAGCCTGAGGTTATGGAACGAAGGCGAAGCAGTCGGAGTGGAAGGTGGTTAGGTGTATCTGTATGGGATGGGTGGTGTCGGTGGACGAGAGAAAACAGGGTAGAAGTGGGAGGTGGGAGACACGAGCTTAGATATCGAACGTTCCTCCAGTCCCGCGACTGTCTTGATGCTTTCGAACTAGAAACCAATCAATCCCGTTTACTCTTCCTTTGGCGTAGTTTCTATTGTCACGTGTATCGATCCGGGCACGATGGCTTGTCTTCTTGACTTTGTAGGTTATACACGAGGGTCTTCTCGGTGATTGACGGAAGGACCAGGAACGAAGGAACGCGGAGGTCGAGGCGCGTGGCTCTATGAATATTCGAAATTCGTTTGTCCAAGGGCGACCCGGAGTGAACGGTCAATGGCCGTCACGAAATCAAACGGTAAACACGTTGCGAGCGAAGTAGGAAGAAAAAATGGTAAACCCGCGAGGGAGACTTTGATCGTGCGAGGAGTCGAGTGAAAATAGATATAAAAGGGGATAAATGTTTGGTGGGTATGTTATCCAGATGAGTTTGTTGGTGGGTAGGGTGGGATGAAGCTTGTGGATGCTGCGCGTAAGGATAAGAGATAGGATCGAGTGGACGAGAGAATAAGGGCTTGTGGGCAATGTTTAAGAAAATGAAGCTCCCGATGGCGCGTGGTTTACTGGTTTACAATCCCGTATCTGGAGGCCAGCCTCACCTCTATCATGTTCCATGCGATTGAAAGCGAGTCCAGCTCGCTTCCCGCGTGCCAAGTTGCCGGAGAAGTGCCGTTCGCCGCGGCGTAGGTGCAGGTGCAGGTGCAGGTGCAGGTGACCGAACGCGATCCTTAGCCTGGTCCTCCGGGGCCACCTCGCCGGGCCTCGCCCGAACCCCGCATGCTCCCTGCACCCCCTTAGCTCTTCCCCCTGCGTTACCACACTACGCCTTCTTACACTCACTGCACCCTGTAGATAACGTTATTCCTCCCGTCCTGCGCATACTTCTCCCATTTCCCGCTCGCCTGGTTGCCTGCCTGCTCGCACCTTCCTTCCTGTCTCCTGTCCTCCTGTTCTCCTTCGCCGACACCTCCGCCGGCGCCTCCGACGCTGCTTCCTCCTCCTCCTCCTCCGCCTCCTCCCCCTCCTCCTCCACCGCCACTTCCACCTCTTCCTTCTCTTCCTCTTCCAGCGCCCTTCGCCTCTTCCTCCTCCTCCGCCGCCGCCGTCGCCGCCGCCAAAGTCTCCGTCGCCTCCAGCACCTAAACCTTCTCCTTCTCTTCCAGCCTTCGTTCCTGCCTCCGAGCTCGAGAATCCTCGAGCGGGATACCAAGGGGCCTTCAGCAGCAACGGCAGCCTCGCCTATCCTCCGGGGCCCCGGAAGAGGGCCCTGGCCTCACCTCGGGCTGGCCCATCCGTAGGAAGCTGCCCTGTAGAGGCCCGTCAAGGAGGCGAACGGCTCTTGGTTCCGTGGGCCTTCGGGGCGGCCGGCCGTGCAGGCGGACTTAGGTGTGTACGTCTGATAGTAGATAGGTGTAGTTATCGGTTCTAGGCTGCAGTGCGCGCGCGCGCGCTCGCCTTTCCTCTTCTACTTGTCAACGTTATTCTCTCTCTCTCTCTCTCTCTCTCTCTCTCTCTCTCTCTGGATAGATGTGGGTATAGTGGCTACGGGAGGAGTAAAAATAGTTTCGGTGGCTCGGGGTGTGCTAGGCGCTGGCGCTGCCAGTAGCGAGAGGCGCGGTGGGGGAGCTTGCGAGCGAGTGAGCTTGCAAGCGAACGAGCGAGTCCGCTCCCGCTTATTGATTGGCAAGAGGCAACGAGAGAGACCTTGCGGCCCGCGCGACCTGACAGCACCCGGACACCTTTATACCCACGACTCTCCTGCCGTTATGCGCGCCTCTTCCATTTCATTTTCCTTCTTCTCGACAATTCACTCGATTCCAATCACCGGCACTTTGCACTTCACTCCTCGCACTTCACAGTACCCTGCTCTTACTCCTACGACCGACGTAGCTGCCACCCGTTTTCGGAACCTCTCTCGCGTACTATTTAGTATTCTCAGGAAACACGTAGGCACGCATGATCCCCTCAGATCCCATCGCCGGAGCCACTGCGTGATCTCATCCAGTCGTCCACGTAAATTCAACCGACCCACCTGAGACCTCGAAGCTGGATATCCAAGAGGTGCATATCCTACAGGTCCAACTGGAGCGAGTTCAAGCAGGGCCGCACTCTTTCCTTTTCTCCTTCTTTCTCGCTCTCTGGAACGCGATTCCTCGTCTACGAACAGTCGGAACGGCGCACGGCGCACGGCACACTTCCGCTCTCTGCCTCGACCTCCCTGACGAAGTGCTTCCCCCAAGACACACACTGCATACTCCACGGGACACGGAAACACTCCCTACGATCTAGCCGACCCAGTGACACCTCCGTGGAGCCATCTGAACTCGCAGGACACTTGAACGCAAACTATTCGGAGCCAGGTTTAATGAGGATGATAAGTTCAGCCTGGTTCGAAATTCGTGCCAGGTGTCCTTCGACAATGAAAATTTCTTCTTCTCTTCTACTTGCTCCTTTTCATCCAAGCTCCTAGCTCAGGCTTTGGCAGCCGTCAGCGATGACGCCAACGGATACCATGATCGAGATCGACACTCTCCTCCGTCCGATCCTGGAAAATAAGTCTTCTCTCCTTCTACGGCTGAGGTGTCTTCGGACACCCCCAGGATGATACCTCCAGACGACACCGATGTCACCCAGTGAACACACACCCCTCACTCCTGCCGAGGACTCTTCCACTTGCCCCGTTTCTCGACTTAATAGATCGCGGGCCTCCTGAACTTCAGCCAATATGGCGGTTGCTGATGATGCCTGGCCACCACTGCCGCCTCTCGCAGTCTCAGCGACGCCGACGCGAGGCGCCGCGACGCGCCGCCCGCCGCAGATATGCTGGAAGCGCCGTTCACGTTCACGCCTGCGATCTACATAAGAATGATCCAAGATGATCACGACGCTCCTGAGAACGACCGTGGACATTTATTTCTTCTTCGGACTTTTCAGGCTCCATTCAATTCCAGCGAACTAACTGGGGATACAATTGTTTTCGTGTCTCTGACCCTTTCTACTGGGTGAAATACGATACCGATAACGATACTGTACGATTCGTAATAATTTTGTCAGTCGTTAGTACAGAGCATCAAGGACGATATTAATGATCCGTTTAATGGTACCAAAGACTTTTCATTCCATTTCTGGACTTAGCTGTCATCATAAAAAACGTCACAATCTCCATTTCGTAATTTACCACTACGCTCTCTGATTCCCTACTAACGTTTGTCCAATGAATGCGAATATAGTGAAGGTGTATGGTTGGAGCGTTTGGAAATTTCTTAAAGAATATCACGAATGTGTGAATGGCCGTACAGTTGCCGGAGGGAAAGTTTGAGTGCGCCTAGCGACGTTTGAATGGTCATGATGCCGTTAGGACGAGGGGACGTACGGGACAGAGAGAACGAAAGAGTTCGAAGCTGCTGGCACCTAGGTTTTCCAATGTAAAACCGAGTGTCAGGAAACATTCGTACCGGGAATACGAGGGATACGAGGACGCCGTATGGACTCTGTGGCGAGAAACGTATCCTCGTCGGTAAGGTAGAGCCCTGCGGGAAGTACCGCCCACGCAGTGTACGTATCAACCCGCATCTACCCTTACCCCATCTAAGCTTACACACCGAAACCGTTGAGCACGACGAGTCGACGCCTCTGCTTTACTGCTCCTAGTCTCGTCAAAATTCCCTTTCCACGAAACTCGCCACGTTGGTAGGGAGAGATGCCACGGTCTTTCGGCCATGTTCGACGCACCGAAAGCCCGTCCACCATTCCCTACATGTTGTACACCCCCCCTCTCGGTACAGATTCGAAACGGCCAACAGTTCACAACCACGTACTCGTCCAGAAGGACGAGGAGTCTTTCTAAGAAATAATCAGGTAGAGGATACGTACTTCCCTCGTTCGATCGATACAAAGCCTATTATTGTTTCTCAAAGAATCCATCATAATTTTTCAAAGGTACCTCGAGCTACTCCTTTAGATAAAACATCCCCGGTACGTGGCCGAACTCGTGTTTCCAGTAATCCGTCGGTTATATCCAAGGGTAGACGTTACTCTCGTACTACCGAGCTACGAGCCGTACGTACACTCGTATGTTCCAGTAGCCAAAGAATGGCGTCTTGTTTCCTGGGCTCTGCTGCTCGACTCGGCCACGAGGAAGAGGAGAGAAGACCTACGAAGAAGAGAGAGTGAGCGAGCAAGTAAGCGACGAGGTTATAACGTAGAGGAGCTTGGGAACACGTGCAGGCGTTCCTAGAGAGTCAGCCAGAGGCATGAGAACAGGGAGAGGGAAACGGAGGAAGAGGTAGAGGGACACGTACACACCAACACATTTTCAGGGTCCCCTAATACTGGTGGATTGAATGGGCGAGGGGGTGTTATTGGGGCCCCTACGCCCACTCCGCCCACTCAACCCACAGAGGCAGTCACCCACCCACCCACCGTGCCACCCCGCCTGCCCACCCACTCGCCACCCGACTGCCGCCGAGGAAACAACCTGCAACCGAACCAGCATAACGTTTCCTTCAAAACGTTTTCTACCCGAGACCTATCGGCCGGTGAGTACCCTAGCGAATATCCTCGAGGCATGCACACCCCTTGCATTCGGGCTTTCTCACATTTTTCGTTCCTCTTACGTGCCTATTATTATGTCGATAACGCCGCGTTTCGTAGACGCGCATAGGTACGGACGCAGTGTGGGGTGGCAGCTCGGTCGTTTTCTCTCCGGCTTCTCTGTGTGCTAGTGCGCGTACGTGTCAACAGTGGTCGGCCGTGTTGGATCATCAGTGTGCCCCTTGTCGCGGTGTGTGTCTGTGCGTGTATGGGTGCACCGTTGCCCCGCGTCAGGGTAAATCCCACGAGCCAAGAGCAGGCGCCTACGTACGTCGCGACGCAACAGACAGCCAGACAGAAAAGTCAGCCGAAGACTCTTACAATCTCTGTCGACGTTACGTTTACCTCGCGTTATATCTATATGGATGCCATACGGAGAGTCAGAAAGAGAGAGACGCGCCTACCGGGGAAGTAGGAGAGAGCAAAGAGGAAGGCTGATTGGCGGCATCGAAAAAAAGAAGGAAGTTTGGAAGCAAAAATTGAAGTTTCGAAACGAGGAGCGACGATTTACTGGGAACAGACCTGCTCGGCGTCCTTGGTCTCTGGGCAATAATTTTCGGACGAATTTGAATGGCGCACTGCCCGTCAGGGATTCTCAACTCCAAACACTGACTCCCTGTCAAGACGCCAGAGCACCTAGGCTTCTTGTATATAGTACTCGTATCCTAGCCAAGCGTCTCCTGTGTGTGCCTAGAGGGCTGCGTTCATAGGGTACGACCGGGGGTGTCACCGAGGGGCATATTGATTTATCCGTCTCTCTTACCCCCACCTCCTACCTTTCCCCTACCCACCGACGTCCCCCCCCTATCCCGTTTCCCAACTTTGTCCCCCCTTATCCTCCTACCACTAACCTTCTACCACCTCCCTCTCTCCGGCCTTCCCCCGCCAACGTCACTTCTATCCCCACCCTCGTCCTTGCCATAACACGCATGTTACACGAGACACACATTCCCCAGCGCCCCCGTAAATGCTTCTCCTTACAGCTGGAGGGTTGCCTGACCATCGTACCACCTTCCCCGATCAATAACGCTCTCGTCCTTCCTCGTTCTGGATCATGCCGGCTGCCTGCAGACGCGAAAGACGCAGAGCCTAATCGATCGCAATCAATTCCAGCGGGGAATCGCGAACGCTGGGATTGCGGGCTCTCGGACTTTGCGGTTGGTAACGCGCGCGTTCACGCGGTTATTCCGATCGTTGTGGCTGTACATACTATATACATATATATTTTTAGAGGGCAGAGAGAGAGTGACAGAGAGAGGGGAGTATGTGACTGCTGGAGGATGCTCCTCTTCCTACTCTGTCTTCTTTCTATTCCACTTGACTCTTTGCCTTAAGCCATATGACAATTCTATGAGAACTTTTCACGTAGAGACAGTACGGTCATCTGTAACGGTATAGACCATCAAAAGCCATCGGGTATTTCCTAATTACCGTTTCCTAGGAGGTTTCTTACGACCGTCGGTATATTGTCCAGGTTGGACCTATCCCTCCCTTGTCGTCCCCTACGTTAAACCCCTCTATCCCCTGCGCTTCCGTAAGCTCGCTTTGATTGCGAGACTCAGGTAGTCGGGCAACTCGTTACTCCTCGGTTTCTAGTTCTCTACTACGATCCTAGAGCGTTTTGTGTAACGTACAGTAACGTATGTTGCTAGTAGCTGTCCAAAGCACTCGGGTTACTGCTTCGTTTAACTGTGGTTTTCTGAACTCGCGCTATCCATCAGTCGTCTTTACTTCCTAATTAGTACCATGGCTGGAATTTACTTGGCGTGATAGTCGCTTTTCCAGTTTACCAACCGGCACGTGTACAACTCAAATGAACGCGTTGGCTTGGGGACGATTCGTAATGTCAACGGTATTCGTACTTGCTTTGCTTTTCTGTAACTGAAATGTTATATATATATTTTTTTATTGCGGTTCTTACACTGATAGCGCCACTATCTTCTGCCATCCGTATATCAGGGGGTAATTAAAAGCTACCTTTCAAATGCTCAATGCATAGGCGTACCGGACTGCGAATTCAAATGAAAATTTGATCCATTGGCGTAGCTATGGTTTTTCTAGTGCCGAATGCCTGTGGGGCCCGTTGATGAGTCAGAGGGTTTATTCTGTGGGAAGTTGTACGTCAAATTTTACACCTGGAGTTTTTCCTTCAGGTAAACGACTCGCTGTTGCTGGGTCGGGAAGCGTCCTTCTGAATCTTCTGAAAGTGTCTGTCTTCCTGTTGGAAATATGGAGGGCAGCGGCACTGGGATCAGCAGGCTCGACTGCTACGAGGATATGTTCAAGGAGATTACGAGGAAGCTCTATGGAGAAGATCCGGATCATAGGAGTAAGATTGTCTAAAAGCATTTTTTTAATATGGTGAGGTGCAGTCTGTTGAATAATGCTAATTTTTATGGGTTGTTACTTTCTAGCGTCCAGCGTTCAGAACGAATTTGAGACCTCGGTCTCTTATAAAACTACTGACGATGACACGGGTAATGGTACTGACGGAAGTGATGATGGAAATTGGACCTGCGAGGACGAGCCTCTAAAGGGTACTGACGGTAGCAGAATTGCTGCCTATCATGCTGGAAAGACGACCTGGAGATGCTACGAATGTGGTTAGTGTCAGATACGTGATACTTTTGATAACGGAATTTACCGAGTGTGATAGTCAATGGTCTTTCTATGTCGGTATGAAATATTTATTGTGTTTCTATCTTCTTAAACTTATCCAGGTGACTGTATGGGAGGAGGACCTCGTGAGGTCGCCGAGCACTTCACGGAACTGCACTCGTCCAGGATCATTGGTGACGATTCCAGGAATAGACATCACTCACCTAGAAAGGATTATCTACAAGCGGAATTAAAGATTGAGGACGTTGTTGCATATTTAGAAAGGGTACGCGAACGGGCTGAAAGAGCAGCGCCACCCTTACGTAGAACTCAGGAAACACAAACAGTACCTACTGCATTGTTACCTCCGAGTTCAACCTTCCTCCTTCAAGAGTTACCTTCTACTCCAGCTCCGCAGCATCTTCATCAGGTGACCCAAATAATGACTCATGAGATTTTCTAATAGCTCATTATTTTACATACATTCGTTTCTGCAGAGCTCAGCCGCCATGCCTACTTCAGCCGCCGCTTCCGGTAGTGGAAAACGATACACTTGTCCGTATTGCCCGTACGGAACCGACAGACGAGACCTGTATACTCGTCACGAGAATATTCATCGTGAGGAGAAGCCGTTTCATTGTTACGTGTGTTACAAGCCCTTTAATAGAGCGGATCACGTGAAAAAGCACTTCCTGAGAATGCATCGAGAGCACCGATACGAATTATCTAGGATACGAAGACCAGCAGGCTCAGGGAACACGCCAAAGCCTCTTCAGCAAGATTCCACTTCCGGTGCAAGTGGAAACGGAAACCAAACTCATCACACGAATTATCCATCGGGATATAATAATAAAGGATACCAATTACAACCAGCACCTGGTTCTGGAGGTGGTCTGTACCAGGCCACGAGTATGCCTGCTCCTGGAATAATGCAACCTGACACTGGATGCGGTAGACGGATGCAGAACGGCGGATGCAACAGCAAGAGTCACCTGAAGGGTGGGTCAAAGGGCGCCCAGGAAAGGAGGTGGGAATAAAAATATCCATTTGGCAAGAGTTTCAATGAAGTCTGATACTCCTTAATTTAGTAATAATTGATCTGTATACCAATAAGTCAAGTAAATCCGTGCTGATCGGTAATCTTTTTTCTCATTTTATCAACGTAACAGGGTAATATCTGTTATGAAGCTGGATACCTGAATAGTTGCAATCGGTATAATATAATTGGACATACTTAATCAACTAGCATACCTACGTAATCGTCAACCAATTGACCTAGATTTTCCTATAACGTGATATTACGCCGTGATAAGATGCCATGCGATATGAGTTTTCACGCTCGCACGTACCTTGTAAAAATAGAAAACAACTTTGAAATAATCATACACGTGAACAATTGCGTACATATTTGCCAGGTATACTTGCTGTTACTGCTCGTGGAGTGGAGTCGACAATTGGTGCCTGAAACGCCATTTGAACACACATCTCAAGCCTTTCGCATGTGCACTCTGCGAGTACAAGGCGGCCCGTGCTGAGCGATTAGCTACTCACGTCTTGAAGGTCCACAACAGAAGGCAGTGTTCACGATGCTCCTTCCTGGGTGAAGATGCCGCGCAGCTGCAGGTGCATCAACTTCACGTGCATCGTGTTACCAGTGCAAATGCACCGGCACCAACTGCTCCGCCAGCACCGCAGCAAAATAATCGTCAGCAGCAACCGTTGCAGTAAGGTTTTCTATTCAGTCTCTTAAAATTCAATTCTACTTCTATCAGAGTCAGCAGTACACACCTGACTTACCTAGGCGTAGCGATATTATCAAGCAGGCAATTGTAATTCAAACGGGAATATTTGTCTCAGTCCCATGTGTTCGATTGACTATTGGATTTACAGCCCCGTCGGAGGAGGTCGACCTCCCCCAGGTCCACCAGTCTTCCCTGCTCCAGCGCCAGCGATCGCACCTGCCACTACCGTCATACCACCGACCACCATACTCGGGTAAGCATGCAGATTCCTAAAAAAAAATATGTCTGCACATACATAGATGTCGCATATGCTTTAGTACGCAGCTTGCGCAGTAGGCAGCTCGTTTGAGAATAGACTTGACCCTTTTAACGTTTACCACGCTTTACAATGCGTTCATTAAAGTTGGACTAGATTAAAGAAATTTTCTGTATGCGTTTCATAACCTAACCTAACGAATGATGTTATTTTTTCTTTATAACGTATAATGTCTTTAACAAAGTGTGTATTCGCAGCAACAAGAAGTACAACGAGCTCTGCTGAATTAACGATCGGTGCCAACTGATAAAGCGTTACGCAAAAGGATCTTTGAGAACCTCTTAAGTACCAGTCGTCATTGATACTGTTATCCATTGGTGTCTGGAGGTCGCGACGTTAATTCTGGAAAACCTGAAAACTTTGGAAACCGACTTTCACGCAGTAGTAATATTAATTGCTTGATTAGCTTCGTTGAAAATACATAACGTGGTTAAAGTTTAAATCAAATTTTCTGACTCTACATTACGTGCACTTTCGTTTTCAACGCTTCGACGTATAATCTGAAGAGAGTGAAGCGTAGGACAAGATTATCAAATATAATTGACACAATCAACTTTCGTACCTTCTTATGCCTTCGTAAACTCGTGACTTGCATAAAATAACGATAGACACGAAAGCGGTGAAGCTTCGGAGCCGGCATTAAAGCATCTTGTATACATTAAAAATTGTACTCTTTGGATGAATAAGAATGAAGAAACGAAATCCATTGTACGCGAAGATTGAAGTATTGCCGGAGGCACTTGTCTTAAGAGGTTCGGATAAAGGCAAATCGTGGTCTGGCAGTTAAAAGGGTCAAGTCGAATAATAAAGTCTGACCGCACTTATCATACACAGTAAATGCGCATTACAGGACGTCTCATCCGTCTCTTGGATTAATTATCGCGAGTCTTTGCTGGAGTCGAGCTGTCGGCCATACCGCGACGAGGCACCGGACTTTCCAGTATCTTTAACTGTGAATCCAATAAGATGACATTAATGATCAGTGGCGCAATTCCACGTGCCTTTTGAATAACATGCATAACCGCAAAAAGGATAACATCAGATTTTTGTAATAAGCAAGGTCGCTCAGTGGCTTTTCGCAGGAAAATGGCAACAGTTCGTCGACCGTATAGCTTTACGCAATAGGTCTGACACATTCGCAATTGCAGCGCTGGCCGATTTTCCCTTGGTTAAACGTCAAGTAGAGAGAGAAAGTTGTGATAACGTAGTGACACGTCTCGGGCTATTTTTTTCTTTGCTACTTTGTGAATCTTTATTTATTTATTTTTTTTTTTTTCAATTTTTCTTCTGTTCGCATACAAACGTGTCTGTCCTGTATTTAAAAGCAAAAAAATAAGTGCCTGTTCGTTTGTTCTGCCTGTCGATATGTAGATACGTGTTATTGTTAGTAGATTGACAGAAAAGCTCTTATTCCAAAAAAAAATGACGCGAACGTAACTTATGGAACAGTGCCGCGGTGGTTGCAGCCACGAGATGGTAAACTCCCCTGCAACAGCAGGAAGCATGACGTCGCCTAAGGAGGAGAGGCGCGTGTCGTACGAGGTCCGCGAGCAGTGCGGATGCGAGTTCCTCGACGAGGATGAGCTAGCGCTGCACCGCGGCACTACGTTACTACTATCCACGGGATATCCCGGATGTCGCGGTGAAGGTCCTAACCCCAATTTTAAATGCAGCGCCTGCGGGCTAAGCCGCCAGGGCAGGTCTAGAGGGACGGAGCGAGCACGCGGGACCCCGTCCTCTCCTCAAGGTAGCAAAACGGAAACGGATAGCGGCAGAATACTGAGGACAAGACCGGAACAGGAGGACTCCCTTCTTCTGCTGTCCAGCGAGAAACGCTCGCGGAAGCAGAGTCAGCCGCGTAAGGTAACGATGCAGGACATGGAGGACGAGGAGGAGGAGGAGGAGATGAAGGAGAACCTCGAGGAGCGCGACTCGAGGCCAAAGACGCGACTGAAGAGGACATCGTCCAGGGAGAAGGCGGCTCTGGATCTTCGGGAATTGCGGGAACGTTATCTGGCGCAGCTGGTCTCGCGAAAAGGTCTCTTCAAGTGTCACTTGTGTCCACGGAATTCGGCTGCCAGAGCCTTCCGCTGGGTACCCTATCACACTAAGGCGTCCCTGGCTCTTCATACGCTATGGCGGCATCGTCCAAGAAAGCGCAATGGACCCCAGGACCATCGCCGGAAGTCGCTGAGATCCGCGCTGACCCTCAAGGCAACCGTCTACACGAGTTCCGGTTACACTTGTCATAGATAGCGATTAATATCCCTGGAGAATGCTGTGCGGCATATCTTGGAACTTTCGACTGGCGCAATCTTCGCTCACTGAATAATGGATCACGGGGACGTCCAAGGAAGTTCGTGGCTACGTCGATGAATTCTCCAGCAATTATTCTCTGTTAAGAAACTCTACATTTATCCAATCGATATTGCGTCCTGAGTGACTCCGGTGACCCTGATGCCGGAGAATATCGTGCGTGTATCGTCAGATTGTGATTTTACATTTGGACAATGATTCTTTCGAATTCTTATTAATTAAGTGCGAATAAGAGACATCGAACGCGGTGTGCTAAGCCCTTAAGGCAAGAATTACAAATGACGGCGTATCGATGTCATGGAAATTACTCTTTGTACCAGTCGTATATATGTAAAATTCATGTAAAAATAGGTTAAGCCTCAATGCTACCAGTACTCCTTTCAAGTTGAACGGCCGCCCTGTTGATTCTTGAAAAAAGAAAATTATGAACACTGTAAGCATTATTATAACGGTAGAAGCATCTCATGTATAGGTACTCTAATAGGAAACAATACCTCCGGGAACTTTAAGTCTAATAAAACGAATGCTCGTGGAATCATTTTTCCCATAAAGAACGTTACTCGGGCTACTAAGAGTAAAAAAATAAGTGTAGAGGCCAATGCGAAAAGAAAAAAAAAAGAAACAACGACCACGTAGCGAGCGACAAAGGCGAAGGAGAAAACTTGAAGAAATAATAAGGATCGCGTGTCGTTCGCAGCCGTACGTGAATCTATGGTACAAGCATTTCTTCTATTTCCCTAGAGAAGAGAAAAGACGACGATTTAAAGAGAAAAAGAAAGAAAATTAAGTAAAGTGAAAACTACCTTAACGATAAATGGGCGCAAAATATTTTTCGTACGGTATCTGAATTGCTCGTCTTGTCTCTCTGTGTCGACTTTCGAAAGTGCGTTAATCGAAATAATCAAAGCGTCCAGTATACATTTCAAGACCGTAAACACGTGGCGCCACTTGACGTTGCTCTCTCGAAAGACCCCTCGTAGCCGTTAATGTAATTTCGTTATTGTACGTACTCGATCGAGCAAGCATCACTTTTATATAATGCTATTTGTACAAAACTATTACCTTGTTTACGTTACTATATGAAATATATTATATCTATTATAATTGGGGCTGTTGGTCTCGTTCGTTCAAATCCAAATACTTTTACGCGTCCACATTGGAAATACTCAAAATTCTCAAAAGTCCCCACCCAACCCGTTCGATATGAACTTTCTATGGATTCTTGCATAATAATAGTCTCTCTCTCTCTCTCTCTCTCTCTCTTTGAATCTTTCACCCTCCTCTTATACCCCGTTCGATCGCTAACGAGCTCCACGAAATTCTAAAGCCACGTCGAAAAGAGGAACCAATCTTGCTAGTACAGCATCCAGTGCTCCATTCGTCCCTGTGTCCTCTCATAATAATCTTTCATTTCCGCAGGAGTGACGTAACGAGATAAAAAAGAAAACACAGAGTAAGCCTCGTTATGCAAGGGGTGGGGAGGGGAAGGGTTGCACCCGCGTGGTTGCGTAACACTGACGTCATATCATTAATCGAATTTACGTTGTCCGATGTCTATCGATATATAATTATTCGTCACGTACCCCACGGCCGAGACCAATGGCACTCCAGGTATATGATCGAGGAAAATAAAGAGAATCGTCTAATTGATTACGTTGGATTAAGCTACGATTTTAATGAGAAATTAAAAGCTACCGTCTCGCTCAATCGGATTCGATTTACTGAATTAAATTCATTGTCGTCCTTCGTACAGTCGCCGTTAGCAGATATCATTGTGAAAAATTAAAGGCAGTCTTTACCTGCTGTTCACCATTTCCCAATACACGTTCATACCTCATACGTCACTGTACGGTACAATTAACTTTTAACGATCCACCATTTTCGTTACTCGAGACTCTCAACGACACGACCGAATCCGCAGCTAGTCGTTATAACGACTTTCAACACGTGACGCAAGGTGCAAGTCAAAATTGCGAGACGATTGAAATAATTTTTCGGAAGAGTTGAATTTAAAAGAAAATAAAGATCCTGACGACCCCGTGTATCGATCGTTCCACTTCTCGTCGATCCTTGAGCGCTCAGCACGCGACTAATGTAAGTGCGATACGTTCATCGCGATTTTAAAATCGGTACTGATAATCATTAACGATTTGAATACCACGCGAGGCTGGATAATCGCGGTAAAATAACGAGGTTATACACAGGTAGTAATAACAGTAATGTAACAATAATATAAGGCGAATAATCAGACGATCAATTCGGCTGTGCAGTCCCTTGACATTGCCAATTACTCTTCTAGTCGCATTCATAGGGCGATTTCGACATCATTATTTTCACGCTTGTCGCGCTTCAATTATTCATGTAAATCGTACGACAGACTCTGCGGGACTTAATGGGTATTACGAGTTATTATTGTATTCGGTACTGTAGATTTAAATACACTCCTTTTCACGTGGCTACGAATAATTTAAATCGAGACGAAAATTCATTGACGTCCGATTGAATTTTCATCGCTTGAAATACGCGGGTAGAGATACGTTCGGGTCGATTCGATTATCGATTCGTCCCGAAAGAGAGTATCACTTCGATACAATCCTCGCGCAACGGGAGAGCCAAAGTCCGCGGGATTTGTTCTGGACGCAATTATTGCGATAAATATCAGCGTAAATGATCGCTCGTTAATCACAGAGCGCGTGCGTACGGTACATCGGGGCTGGCTGGTTGGCGCGTGCAACTACGGGTAGATCCGTATCGGTTGGCGAATCGATTCCGAGGGCAGTCGCGTTAAAAGTCTGGCAAATACGTGTCGCCAGTTTTGTACAGTATGAGTCAATATTTTCAAGGGCTGCGAAATCGTTAAAACTGCCAGATCGTTAAGAGCGAGTCACGAATGTTACACTGGGGGCTCGATTAAATTGTTTCACGAAATTTACGTAACCTTTAATTTTCCCTAATAAGCCGTCGGACAGTCCCGATTAAATAATTCTCAATTCACTGAAATTTCATTCCTACTACTTGGATATGTACGAATACGTTATTTTTACCGACCCACGGTACATATTTTGAATCTTCACTAATAGATCGCTCCAACCACTTACGACTCTCTCGGGATGAAACGCAACACCCGTTACCTGCAATGGATTTTTCCTGGAGCACATTACCAGCTTCCTCTTTACCATCGGCATCTTCCCCGAGATGGATTTCAGTCTGGTAATTACTGGTGATCCTTTCCCTTATCCAGATCGGATCTTCGGATTTCTTATTCCCGGCTCTTACGACCTGGCGGCTGTACTCCTGGCATTTCCGCTTTCCTGCATTGCCTGCCGAGAAATATAACGAGGCTCCTTCGCGGTGGGCCCTTTGGCTCAGGCAAGAGACTTTCCCTACCGGAAATCAATGAAATCCACAGTTTCTTGCACGACGACCCTCTTATCGGCACTTATTACTACAGGGATTCCCTCGAGGAGTCAGGAAGTCGAGCGACGCTCCGGTATAGAGAACTCAGTATATGGGATATACGCACAGGTTATGTATCTCGAAGGTCGAGGAACGATCGGCCATATTGAATCGAAGGTATCCTCAGGATTGTGTAAGTGTTCCTTTGTAGTCTATGGAAAGCCAAAAGAAATGCCATTCATAATGTCACCAATGATCACCCTCCGATCTATTCTGCAGGAAGTGACGCGTCGATCCAGAAAATAAATGTCTACCGACTTCAACGTCGACGTATTAAGTGCCTTGACGTATCTGACCGATTATCTCTCGTGTCGGCGGATCCTGGAGCCTTGTCAATTTGTAGGCTACGCCAGGCTGGCAAAATCTCAAAACCCTCGACAAGGTCAAGAGATTTTTTTCAATTGTCACGTGGACGAAAGATATTGTCCATGTCAATACCGAAGGACTGGTGATCTTTATGAGAGGTTACCGGCATTCACTCGTGTACACACCCAGCTGATATCCTTATGGGTTTCAATTTTTTCTTTTACTCCAATATATACGTATATACCTATACGTAATCTTTACTTTGCGATCAATCGCGACTGAGCTCCCTGAGGTCTCTTGAGGACTGCGGCGCCATTCGAACCATTTGGCAAATCGATGGAAACGATATATTGAATGTCATTACTTATTACTTCCGTCGCTGGGTAATTTCCTCCTTATACATCGGCATAACTAATATCATGCAGAATTTATAAAATTTAATATATTAACAAATCAAGTTTTACTGGTATTCCACTCTTCTGGATATAATGTCTATCAGATATGGTGTCCCTAAAAAACTTCTGTACATTGAAATAGTAAATAATTCGAAGAAATGATACTTTACGAAATATGGGTGAACATTAAATTCACATTACGGACGGTACCCTTTCGCCTGATCTTTAGGAATAATTTTTAAGACGACATTATTATATTATAATTTCTAATGTCCATGGACAACTTTATTTTTTACCCCTTTTATGTATTTAACGATTCGTTAATTGTTGATTATGTCTTTTTTTTTTCCAATTTTTTCCCTTCCACTTTCTTCGCCCCGACTGCGCGCTCGAACTTTAGGAGTCTCTGCGAAAGACTCTCGGCGCACTTGAAAGGTCTCTTACGAATGGCTGTAATTCACGTGTCGTCGTACTCCCAATAACAGGAGCAATCGAACAAAGCCGTCTTGCGGGTCGTTGCTAAATAATCGACGGACTGCGACTTGCCAGGTTATCCACTTATCGACTTTCATGAATTATTATCCAACGGCAATTGTTGTACGATCATAACTGTATAACCGCGCCCGTAGACAATTATTTTCAAGCCGAGCCTCCTTTCCTCGAACCGAGTAAAAATTCCTCTTTTTATACCGTACGAGGATTAGAGACTATAAAGATTATTAAAATTTCTTCATTACAGCATCCCTTCTTATCGGGGCTGGATAATACCTTGAATTTTTAATATATCAACTACGACACGCATTCTTTTAAAAAATAATTGCAATGAATGACTTTAGCCCTTCGAAGCACGGATCCTATTGACTTCGGTATCGATGACGTCATATTTAAATGTATACGTATATACACGATGCATGGTATCCCAGAATATTCGCCTAGAAAAGCATATCGCAAAGCCGCCTATTTGCATTTCCATGAAAGTAGAATATAGTTGCTGCGATGCGGAAACGAATATCAGCTGTTCCTCCTATACGAAACGGTACGTATGCCCAAGGTAAAACTATTCTACGAATTTTCTAGGCTACGTCAAAGCCGCTCTTTGTCGCGCCTAACAAATCCTTCGTGGCCCGAGGGACCGAATGGGATTTTTACAGTAATTTGAACTTTTCATATCATTTTTTATTATTCGTCTCAATAACGGATATGTCACTTCCGGTATAAATTTTTTCTCATTCCTCCCAATGCACTCTGCCACCTTTTTCACAGCCACCCTCTTCCACCCACGCCTCGGTGCCGCCAGCCGCTACCTAACCTAACCCTCGTGAAAACCATCGGCTTCTCGAGTTACAAAGTGAACTGCCATTTTATCATAGCTGACAATGTTCCGAAAAATGTATAATCTCGTCTATTCCTAACCAACTGTCAGAAGATAGGGAAACGATATACGGAAATTATACAGTTAACAATAGAAGGCTACGACTACCGTTCGAATATCACTTCGATTAAGGATAACCAGCATATCCCTATACGTGATAATCGTTATACGCAAACCAATCTCAATTTTCGATCGTTCGATAATCTTAACGCTGCAGCCCGGATAGTCGATTTAATAATAATAATTTAATCCGACCAATATTAGCAGCTGAAATATTCTATTGAAAGTGCAGTTATAATTGGGTAGATGTGCTTAACCAAGTGAATGTAAAATCAATAATCGATATCGATCCTCTGTTATTTATATATATTTTCGATTTGTTTCAATGCAGATATATATATATATAGGTTTGTAAAAGCAATCGCAGCGTGCATTACTGGCATTCTGAGAAAATAATAAAGCCAAGACGGTACGGACGGAGAAATAAGAAAAAATATAAAAGGTATATCCGGAAGTAAATGTAATAGAAAAAAAATAAATAGATTCTCAAAGGCTGTATTTCTCGATAAAACATA